AAAGTTTCAAAGGGACAGAGTAAAGTTTTGTTCGAATATGATGTAGACCTAACTGTTGATTTACATAAGGTAGTAATGAATCAAAAGAGACATCGTGTATTGCACAGGTCGGAGAGAATACTCGAAATCGGGTATTATCCGTGAAATCGCGTATAATAACCGATATTAGGGTATCGTTGAATCCGCGAAATCGGGTATAGGAGGTGTAATCACCTAATAAAACTTAAACAATGGGATGGCGCCATGTTGCCGAGTTAACTTTCATCTAGATACACATGTTTTCTAAAGGTATCACTAGCCAAGTAAGAATTTGGGCGTCAAGATTAATGCGCTCAGGACAACAAATACCCGTGGAGGTCAGTACATTTCATGATCTGCACACAAAAAGGCGTTCGATTTGCTTTATATTTTTCATAATGTTGAAAGTATGTGCATCTTCCTAATGTTCATTCCCAACACAAAAGAATGGTAAAGTATCAGAATTCGGGAATTTATAATAATTCCACATCAACACGACAAACGTGAACAATTTGTAAATAAATCAAATTATACGGAAACACATTTCACACACAAGATGTGATGACATGTATAAACAAGGGATTGTCTATCGTATCTAATTATGCGTCATTAATTACTTTCACATTCATCTTGTGCATAAAATCAAATTTGTTTATGAATGTATAAACAATGTAATGATAAAAATACTGAGTATCTAAAATTTCGGCTAAAAAAAACCTCTTTCTCTTTTTTTTTTTTTTTTTTTGAAAATCTTTTATCATTCATACATATTTGCAGAATATGTCTTCAACATTTTAGCAGAGACAGTGATAGTTTCAGGAATACAGCTTATGAGAGAACATAACTGTTGATCGTTTAATTTCGCTAAGTCATCAATATTTTACCATTTCTTGGCGACTTAAAAAAAAGGGGGGGGGGCTAAAGGCTTCTTGACCACCTCGGACAAAACAACCTCGACTGTGTTCTACATGTGTCCAAGAGACCTCTCTTTGAATGTCACGGTCGGTGAAACTTGGTTATATATTTTTAATTGTAAGGAAGATTTATTCGTCAAATAAAAATCATATAGGTAAACAAAAAACAATCTGTTATTTTCTAACACAATATGAGACTACAATAACTAGAATTTATGTTTATTTTTTAACACATTTTTTCATTATAGATGAATATTAGGAAAAGTTATTGCCATGAGTAATAAGTATCAAAGATAAAATAACTAAAAGAAAACTGTGACATACTGCCTAGAACCAATCAGATAGTGCGTTGTATTAGCATATTATAATGAGGTATAAGATAGTGATATAAAAAAAATTCTAGAATGTAAAGCGGTAGAATTTACCCTGTCTATCAATAGTATAATAAAAAAGGAAGTGGCTATAATTTTTATGAAATTTTAATGTCCGATGAGGAATTATATTCCCAAGAAGTAAGACAAGAGTTTCCAAGGCAATTGAACACTCCATTATTTCAGTTTGTTCATTAACATGTTCATAAACGTAAAAACTATAAGGAATGTGAAAACTTGACTATGTAATTCATATTTCAATATGACTGTGCCTCGATCTATATTGAGAAATTCAATGTATTATAAGCTCATAAAAAGATGTACACTTTTGTCTTTTATTTATACCCCCCCTTCCAAAAAAAAAAAAAAACCACACAAGAAAACCCTTTTCATATGACTTCTCGCTCCCAATTTTCACACATATGCATAAACTAAAGGTAAAATAGCATATCTTGTATCGATTAAAATGCAACCAAAAAATTTACTGTCTTTGAATATGAATTTCCATGCTAATTGACATAAAAAAAGATACTCACCTTCAGTTAGCTATTTTCAAACTGTTTTCCCGTGGGTATTTATTTGATCTTATTTTATTTTCTTCTTTATAATAACGTTGGTATTCTATTATGGCAGAGATACACAATTATGACTCGCTTATACTTTACTCTCTAACTGTTAGGAATAATCTATATTTCACGTGAAAGGGACGCCATACATTTTTCAGGAAAAATACATAAAACGGCGTTAGTCGTTTAATTTCTTTAAAGTTTCGTGAATATTGCACAAAAATAGAAAATTAAGTATATGGAATACTTTAATGGGAAATAAAGACAAACGGAGTGTAGTTATTTGTTTTTAGAAATTATATTGAAAAATTATAACGCCATTGTGTCCTCTTTGTTACCCCAGCAGTGTTTGTCGTGTGATTTTAAACTTATTTGACAACCGTATGAATTAGGTTTAATAAAAGTAAATCCACAAGATACTGATGTACAAGTAACAGTAACTGGCATAATGCGCCGTTGCTTTGTTCTTTTGTTTTTATAGAAAGTTGCACGAAATACTCGATTTCGCGGATTCAACGATACCCTAATATCGGGTATTATACGCGATTTCACGGACAATACCCGATTTCGGGTATTCTCTCCGACCTGTTGCAGGTTTATTGTACGAACGATGCCCATGACTACGCTTACGTCTCTGAGTATAGTTAAAAAGTCCCATCACATTATCATTATTACACTGCGGACTGGAAAGATTTCAAACACTATCGACATTATCATTACATCCATAGGGAAAGGCTGTCCCTAGTTTTCTAATCCAAAATTCTTCTCGTTGTCTACGGAAAGGTGTACTCAGCGACGGACTATTTAAAGTTGTATAATTGTGATGAGGAAAGAAAAATATGGTCTTTTAAATCTCTTACATCTAAATATATAAGACATATCAACAAATGTACTTCGCATATTCTATCTAGTCAGAAACCAGAGAAGAATCCTACCTTAAAACTCAATTTTGTTTGGACTGTTTGGCAGCATCATGAAATATGATATAACGAGAAACAAAGAAACAGGAAAAAGTAAAATTAACTATGACCTTCACATAGTTTTTAAAGGAAACAAAGACTTATTGAAGAGGAAACAGCATCAAATTTATCCTTCGCTGCATTGTGTCATTTTTAAAAGTAATCCGAAATATTCAAGAAACAATACGTTGAGCCCCCCTTCCCACCTCAAAAACCATTATCTATCAAAACCAAAAAGGGGCTGTACAGGGGATTGTTTATCAGAGATGTCGTTTGCAACAGAAAAACCTAAACTTTTGTTAGATTTACTAGTATGTCCCGTACTACTATCCGATAGTAGCCCACGAAGCCTTGGAAAATTTAATAAGGTTTTTGATCTTAAGGACATACGTAAGGTACCTTACATACTGATAATTTTTCAAGATATTCTTAATTTAAGAATATAGTCCATCAAATATTCATAGACAAAAAAATCAGCATGTGTTACCAGGATGTTTTGGAAGATATCAAATTATGAAAATTTTTGCATTATTCAAAGAAAAATCTACAAAAATTACGAAACATAAATTTCAGATTTTTTTTTCCATCAAAATTTGTTTAAGAAGAGATGTACAAATCTATATATAGACATTACAAGTATTGCACACAGGTCCTTGATTTAGAAGAACTCTTCAACTCCATGGAAGAGCCCAATAAAGTTCAAACTACGTTGCGTATGATCTTAATCTGATTGACAGATAAAATGCGTTAAAACTGACACGAGCTAGTGTCCACATTTTGAGCTAGTGACCAATTTTGCACTCTGTTACATTCCATTTTGGAGCATCTATCCTCCACATTTTACACCAAGCCGACCAATATACAATCTTCTTTCGTTTTGAGCGCAGAGTAAACAATCGCTCGGTGACCTTACTATATGAGGACAAAAGTAGAAAGGAAGGAAGAAAAACAATTGTGTTTACTAATAATCTTTTATGCGAATGCTGTGGCCCTCAACTCGACAACTGGTTATAGCGATAATATTTTGTCAATTAACAATACAGGATATACAGGAATATGTCTTGAGCTTATAATAAAAGATACCACAGAGTCTGACACATCTATTTCATATTTGGATATTTTCCATGAAAAAGATATTAATGGTAATCTAACAACAGATCTTTATGATGTACTTGAATACTTAAAATCTTCAATCGTCAACTTTCCCTTACTTATGCAGCAATATACCCTTATCGGAATTAATGTATATCTCTCAGTTGATGCTATATGCAAGAGTGTACTCTGAGTATGAACAATTTCTAAAACGAGGTAAATTATTGACAAACAAGTTGATGAAACAAGAATATTAGCTGCCTCCTCTTAAAGTCATCATATCGTAAGTTCTATGGTCGAAACAATGACGTCAGCAAATACAATCTATCATTAAGTAAAATGCTGAGTTTTTTCATTCAATTTTTAGGCCATTATTTTCACACTGAATTGTCTACGGCTTTTTTTTTCGCTATTTCTCGATCATAACAAGAAGCACACGGCGGGTGTGGCCGGTTGGAAAGGGGTGCTTACTCCTTCATGGCGGCACCTGATCCCACCTCTGATGTTTTACAGGTCCGTGTTTTCTCTAATACTAATTTGTAACGTTACATGTAAATGAACTTTTGAGCTTGAATATTATTCCTTATCTTCATAGAAACTGAACCTGGCTAAGTTATATAATGTAGACATATGTATCAGTTCCAAGTGGTTATTGAGACAATATAATTTTTAGCACAAACCCTTCAAATCAGGATCCATGGAGGAGTGAGGAGTAAGCATTCTCTTGTCGACCTGTAACACCCAAATTGCACTGTTTGTCATGATCGTGTAACGGAAAAATCTGTGGTAAATTCAGAAGGAAAATAATAGCTTAACAATTTGTACGAAAGACGTTAAGTCAACACTATACCCAGTGAATTATTGTATTTGCATTTAACGTCTGCATGATACTGGCGATGAAATTTGCGAATGGTTGACCTTAACCGAAATTGAAGAGATACCCTTGATTTGTTTTAAAAAATGTATGAAGCTTTATATGTGTTTTAATTGTTTTAAAATGTATAATAAATTAATTAACCATTGATTTTTATGCTTTTAGAAGGATTTATTGCATTAAAGAACACTTCGTAAACTCATGAATTTTTTTTTTGGTCTTTGAGAGGTAGTTTTCATAGCAAGTATGCCTTTTTATCCAGGAAAAAAATCTTCCTCCAAGACAATGAGGTAATGATAAAACCCAATTCACAACAAGGTTATCAAATCTATCGACTTATGTTGAACACAAAAAAATTAGAACGTGAAAAAAAATAGAGAAATATTTACACTGAAAAAAAAATCATTCAATTAAACAACTAAATAAATGCAACTAAATTATCAAAAAAGTGAACAAAAAATCATTCAATTAAACAACTAAATAAATGCAACTAAATTATCAAAAAAGTGAACAAATAATTAACAAGTCACAAAAACTTGAAAACAACTCTTAGTGGGCTTTTTTTCATGTTAGAGAAAAATCCGTGGATTCTGTTTGGCTATTGTAGTTAGCATCCCGGATCTTTAATGGTGCTTGACCATGACCTGTTCCTTCACTAGAACTTGTTTGTTTATATTTCTTTTGCTTGTTTTCAATACAATGTTGGCAACATATTTTTTTCCACAGATTTCTAAATTGTTTCTCCCTGGCAACAAACAGAATGAAGATGAAGAATCCCTGAAAAGTCGTTAAGATTGTAAATATGTAGGCGAACACAACCCTGGCATCTTCTATTGCCAAAATACCAAATATCCAGGTCAGTCCTGAAAGAAGAAAAAAAATAAAAAGAATAGAATATCTATTTTTTTTATATTTGAATAAATTTAAAATATTATACATTTAAATAAATTTAAATTGTTATACATTTATAGTTTTACGATCTTTTTGTCTTTAATTTGATACCTTTTTAACTGCTGGTAAATCGTGTAAGACCCTTGATAATAATATTATGTATTTATTTTATTCACAGTATAATTTTACAATAATTAAGCAGATGTGACTGGTTTCAATTAAATCTACTTACCTAAAAGAATGAATATTGATACAGCTGCCCTCAAATTCATCATGGCCATTTTGGATTCAGACTGATTTGACTGCAGGCCTTTAGGACGATTGAGCAGGTTTTTCAAAACCACAGCAAAAATGATACAGTTCAGTAGAATTATTAGAACTACTGGAATCAGGAAGGCGAAATAGAATGGGGACCTCGACATCCAGCAACTGTAATAAACAAATATATGTTTACCATAATACAATTATACACCTGCCTGCCATATTACTGTGCTGTTACTGTAACCCCAAACTCGTAACTTCAGGTCTTGTTTGTTAATAATGAATCCGTTAAATATATGATGTTCAAGGAAAGCATAATATTTATCGTAATTTTGTGTTGATAAAGCATCTTTAATAAATAGCTAGTTACAGAATTTCAGATTAGTGAAAGAATGGTAAGAAGAATGGAAGCAGCAACCACAGTTTTCATGATTTTACACCTGTCAGGGGTATTAAAAATGAATTGTCTTCAAGTTACAAGGAAAAAAATAACCACACAAAGCTTATTTTAAAAAATCAAGACTTAATTTTAGTTGTAACAGAAACAAGAACAATTACAATTTTACATTCTCACTTGAACAACCAATATTGCTGAAAAACTATTACAAATAAAACATGGTAAAATTGTGTTCCCTTGATGCAAACAAAATAACCATCATTTGTAAGCAACCTTTAAGGAAAAAATTAACTCCAAGCGTCTTGGATATAATATAAAATGAAGCGTGACATAGATTTTAAAAATTCAAAACTTACTAGTGGTTGCCTCCCTTATATAAATCGTAATCAATTGCAAGTACAATGATAACAGGAAGCAAAGGTAAACCTGTAAATAAAAAATAAAATCATACAAATCAAACAACCTCTGAATAATACTGAATAATATTTCAAGTTTTTATGCGAAAGAACAAATCATACCATACAAGAAATCTTAAAGCAATGACAACAACAAATGGTCGTATTAAATTCTTCCTTGGCTTACCCCATGCTGGAATGGCTGCCTTCAGTATAAACCTAGGTATGTAAGTACCTAACACACGTACAAATCTCAGATACTGAAGGAATCCCTCTACCAACATCCACATAAAGGACACCAACAGGAAATAATGCATCAGCGCCGCTACAGTAATACAACCATAGTAACTCTCTGTACGATCCATTCCCACCAAAAATATGATCATTGAACACAGTAAAGCCAAAGCCAGGTTGAATAAGGTCTGTTGTCCTCTTCCTTTTCGAAGCGTCCTTAATTTATTAAAAAGAAACAATTTATCACAACTCATTTAACAAATGAATACTAGTATGGCATCAAACTTTAATCCTATAACCTAAGTTTACATTAACCAGAGGTTATAAATGCCTACTTGAACAGGATGAAGGATAAGACAGTCAGTCCGAGTCCTAAGATTGATAGACTGAGTCCAATGACAGTGATCACAGAAAGCGCCAGTGTGTTACCGCTGTCAATCACGTCAGACTGACCTTTGACGTCCTACAGAATATAATAGAATTAACCTTCAATCTTCAACTGACATTCTTGAAATATGATTTCATTGTATTTATCACAAAATTTTCTGTGAACTCTTTTCGACGAAGACAATGTTGTATCAAAAACTTGCCAGAAGAATGGCAAAATTGGTGAGGTGGTCACACTGACACACGATTCGTCCGTTTTTCTCTCCTATTCTCTGACAGCCTTTTGTCGACCATCCACCAGAAGTATCGTAAAAAGAGTGGTTCCAAAACCCACACACCGAGTCAGCTGTATCCTATGATACAGAGCATACATCAATTCTTATTGAATAAAACGATACAAAAAAATAGCATGATTTGATTGATTACTTATAAATCAAATATAAAATATAATAATTTTCAGAATCAACAGAATCTTTCTTCTTGGATATGAATCACTGTGTTTTGTTATTTACATTGTCAGGTTTATACACAGACGTGACAAATCGTCCCCCGAGATCTGTGACAACTTGTCCGTTTGTTATAAGAGTTGCTGATGCTACTTTTCCATTTAACTGGTATCGACTATTGGCTGCCTTCACTTGAAAGAGGTTTGTATTTTCGTAGATTGATAAGACGACCCTGGTTGTTTTCCCTGTAAAAAAAATTATGTTAACAAATATCAACAAAATATGCATTTTGAAGGATAAAATACTAGATACTGACTTTCAAAAAAGAAATGATAGCAGGTTCACTGACCAGTATCTTAACGTTATTGCAGATTTAATGTTCATACTTATAACATGCTGACAACTTTTAACGAAAACAAAAACTTAGTACCCATTCCCCAAGAAAAAAATAATTGTTGAAATTCCCAATACATTGTATATACAGCGAAACCTGTCTAATCCGATAAGCACTGGGAGACAAATGTTGTGTCGGAATAAGACAAAGTGTCTGATTGCACAGTGTTAAAAATGTGGAAAATAGCAAACTGGGAAAGAAATTTAACGTCGGAATTCACAGTGTGTCGGATTATTCAGGTGTTGGATTAGAAAGTTTTTACTGTACCCTGAATGGCGGCTACAGGAAGGGCAATCCCTGTGTTTGTTATATTGGCCGCTATATCTGTTTGATTGGTAACCAGATCAACAGTTTCATTGGAAAGAGCAGTGTTTTCATCTGTATCTTCTAGCTGAATCCCTGAAATGCAAATAATTGTCATTAAAGTTTCTAGGAAGCAAAGTTTATTAAAATTTGATGAATCCTTACAAGTATCAAAAAATGTATCTTTTACCTATGACATTATCGATATACATTATCTTTTATTTATGACAGTGTATATATATGCATCGTTTACCTATGACAGTATCGATACATGGATCGTTTACCTATTACGGGAGGTTCATCAGCTGATATATCCACCACAGATACTGCATAACCTCTCTGAAAGTTCCGATAAATCGTTCCATTGAGTGTGACATTTCTTAATATGGTCTCAACACTTTCTAATATTCTGCAGGATGAGAAGCAGGTATTTATTACAGAGGATTTACTTTTAGGATGTCAGTATTAAAGTTTATAGAAAAATGAAAAGTTTTTTTTCTATATTGGTCCTAGTCTTTTACCTTGTTGTGCTACTTCCTTTGTCGTGGGCCGCTGTTAATACATCCCCAGGGGCTTCTAATATATTCGAAAACGTGTTTAATACAGTATTCATGATCTGAAAATGAAAACAAGTATAAATTCATTTGTTTAACAAAGAATGCGTCTTTTCAGAACCTTGTTGTTTGCTATGTTTTACTGAAAATTGCGTTTTTGTGTGCAAACGGACCTCAGATGGAGCGAAACCTTTTCATTTGTATTTCCTCTTCAAGTTTAAGAATAGCAACACGGTAGTAACATTACCTTTTGAGATATCGTCGGGATGCTGGCTACGTTCTGTAGTATGATTGATGTGTAGACGACATCTTGGACAGTTAGCGCCGAGGAATTGGCAGTTAGATTGGATACGTCTAAAGCTATGTTCTCTAAGTTGCTTATGTTTGCTGAAATCTAGTTTGTATCAAATATATTACAGGCAAAAGGTAAGTTTATATTTGCTCACAACAGTACTCTCACACTACATACAATTAACCCAGTATTATGAAATCTATGTAAAAGTATTATTCATAATTCAGTTCAGTAATATATCAAGATTTAAACAAACTAGAGGTACTGTGCGCGCTGGGCTTACAAAGTTATAATCCCCGCCTCCCATATGATTATAATGGCAAAGTCCGTGTTTTGCTCTGGGTGACCCAAAATAAGTGTCAGATCAAAAAGCAAAACAGGAGGTGCACCATGGCATTTTGTAAAAAAGAAATTGTGGAAGTATCATTAAATTTTATTCAGTGGTACATAGGAGGAGTTGCGGATAAGATTTGTTTAAAAGTATTTTGAGTGTTTTCAAAAGTTTTGCTACTAACCATTTTCGTAAGTGTTTGAAAGGTAAAATTATATGAAAAATAATCACAGAATGAAAATATAAGTACCTCTGATAAATTTTTTAAGGGTGTCATATCGGAGAATGCCGGATCCAACAGAAATCTACAGTTAGGATTCACGGTCATTTGTCTTATTTCAGCAGGGACAGCGGTCTTAGTGTAACAGAGTCCCGTCAACAGGGGCTTAGAGTCTGCAATAAGGAAATGAAGATAAAAAGATATTGTTCAAAAACAGCAAAAAAGTCTGAAATTATGTAGTCAACTATAAAAACTAAGAGGAAAACATAGGTAAAGAAAGATTACAATGCTAATTAAATTAAGAAAGAGTCCAACACTGAACGTATAATCTATAAATGTGAACAAATGCGATGAGAGATTTCAATTTCATACACTGGAATGAGTCTGCTTCAAAAATATTTACCTGGTCACTCATCGGAAAAAATATACTTCATATCCAGCAACAAAAGCATTTTTGAATGCATTCTTTAATGCTAGTCCGAAGTACCTGACGATTTCCAAGATTTTTACGATTTTGATATTTTACGTGCCAGGAAAACATAAGAACCAGCGCCATTATGAAAACTGGATATTTCGCCCTCTCCAACCGGAGCTAATTTTCGATATTTGCGAACCGAATGTAGAATGTCAAATTCAGAACGTATATAAATAATACAATACTTTTGTACATCCCTTTTTATTTTCATTGTTCGTTTATAAATTAAATATAGACTCCGGTGAAGATATTTCATCAGATCGTCGAGAATTGTTTTCATGTCGTGCATTTTAATAAATCTTGCAAGTCTGTGTCAACTGTGGATTTCTCTCATCGATATTGGTGAGTACTAAAAGCATTGTGCTATTGATAAGAATCGAGAATAAAGTCTGATTGGAGACGCCAAAATTTTCAGTTTCCATAATGGCACCGTTTCGGATGTTTTTCTGGCACGTTTTATTGTAATCGTTCAAAAAAAGAAAAACATGGAAAACGTAGGATATTTTCGACAACATCTATGCAAGTTTGGTTCATAACTTCATATAAGTCTTATAGTTTCTTAATAATGATCCATCTTCAAAAACTTCACTTTTCCAGAAAATTTAGGAAGAATCCAGCATCTTAAGCAACTTTGATAGTGTACATTAATAAATGTATCTTGAAGAGTTTAGTGTACCGTTGGTTAGTATAGGACTTGTAATCATTTTAGAATTAACCTGTTCCAAAAACCTTTAAACCAGGTCACTCTTCCTAAAAATGTAGGTCAGATCCAGCTTCCAAAACAAGTCGAGTAGTGTGCACCCTAACAAGTTTAATTTTAGTCAATATAGGACTTGACTTTACTTCAAAATGAGACTTGCCCAAAAGCTTTAATCTGCAGGAAAAGCATTTATCTGGACATTCAGCAGACATTGCAGTTAGGTATACAATGAACCATACTAATTAAAAGCATCTTCCATGAATCTCTCATGAAAATAGGGCATAGAAGTATACCTGGTTTGAAATCTACTGTAAAATCCAACAAATGAAAACTATTTGGATAGATTCTAAACATAGAACAAGAAATTAATACTACAGTTGTATCAACATGAGAAATTGAATTAAGGAAATGGGAAATATATTAATATGGCATCTTTTATAGTCATGTCAATGTGTCGCATTTATTTTCCTTAGGAAAAAAGAAATGGTAAATACAGATATATCCTTTCCTTGTTTGAATTTTAAAACCGTTTTTAATATTGTGTTAAAGTTGCAATAAAAATTTATTTAAACTATACGTACCAGTTATGCACAGCTTTTCTGAATAAGTTGTTGATCCATTCCCGACCGCTTTAAAGGCAAACGTGGATTGAAAGTCAGGGCTATATCCAAGGGTACAAAACTCTAAAAGATATTGTGTGTATTGAATTATATTAGAATATTAAAAAATTATATAGAACTTAGTCTAACTTTTTTATAGGGTTTGACAAAGTTTTAAAAGGGATGCTTTTAAATGGCGAACAACTTTGCTAAGCTATTCCAAATTGGTAAACTTAGTATGTATTCCTTTTTTTATTCAATTTAATAAAAGATTGACCTTCACTTCTAATTTCCAAAGTCCCAAAGTCCACATATCTCTGTTGCCGTTTCCGCCTACTTTCCCGGATTGGTGTGGAAGCTTCTCTTGTGATATTTTTCAAAAGTTCTCCTATCCCTTCTGCTGTCTTCCAACCAATTGACGGAGTTACAAATGATATCAGAAAATTAGCCGTTTTTCCACTCTTCAATCTAAATTGTAAAATGATACAGAAATTGCTTGGATTTCTTAGATTAATAAATAATTGCATACGAGTATTTCATTTTGATTTTGTTATTATGCTCATGATACTTTTTTTTCGAAAAACTGTTATGTTACAATGACATGTACGCACGAAACATTTTTGATTCGTATTAGTCTTAAAGCACTGTCACGTGAAGGAAATAAGGAAGCCCAGATGAAGTAAAATCGGCTTTCAATATCTCTTCGTAAAGCATCTTGTAAGCTTCCTCCCAAGTTGTAAGTAGCCCGTAGAGCGGACGATGTATTCATGGGAACATATAATCGAACACTCGCGTGAAAAATGGACACTCGGTCATCTGTGAAAAAAAAATTATAAAAACAGAATAAGTAATTGATTATATACAAAAAAAGTTCACGTACACCCGATTACGTTACTTTAAAGATCACATTTCTACATATTAAAAAAAATGATCCTTTGTTATATACATCTGTTGTTATGCGTGTTGAAATTATTGTCAAATCACAATCTATCTCTGGTGAGTACAATGGATTTAGTATAATAAAATTACCATTTGGAATTGCGTAAACGTCCTTGGAAACTACATACGCGGAGCCTTTTCTCTGAAGTTCACACCGGTATATATCTACATCATTAGCTGCTGAGGCTAAAAACGACGTATCACTGTTGTCTTCTAGATTCCAGTTCATGATGGACACAGAGTAGCTGGACTCTGATTCATTTAGCTGTTTGACTATGTAGCCTCCCTTGTACATAGTATAATTGTCAAACTCCAAGTGAGGACTTGGAAATGTGCATGATACTTCGCCTCCAACATAAGGTAGAGTCTGATTGATTAAGACTTTTGGTTTTTGGAATGCAATTTGAACATCCTCAGATGAATCTAAGACAAATGATCAATTTTTTGAAAAAAATGCTGACGTGTATTGTTCTGACACAAGTAAGCATTCTTGTTCAAATAATTAGTAAAGGACGAAGTCTTAGTAAAATGTACATTAACCATCTTCTTTCAATCGCCAATTGCAATGCTCAGATGTCTTAAGAAAATAATAACACGTAAAATATCTTGGCATGCATATTCCATCAGAGAAATTTGCTGTTTGCAACTATACAAGTACTTACACTTGGTATCTTTACTGTTGGTTTGACAGACGACTCGAGCTGTCTGTTTACAAGTACTTACACTTGGTATCTTTTCTGTTGGTTTGACAGACGACTCGAGCTGTCTGTTTACAAGTATCTTTACTGTTGGTTTGACAGACGACTCGAGCTGTCTGTTTACAAGTATCTTTACTGTTGGTTTGACAGACGACTCGAGCTGTCTGTTTACAGGTACTTACACTTGGTATCTTTTCTGTTGGTTTGACAGACGAATCGAGCTGTCTGTTTACAGTTGCTTGAACTAGTTAGAATCATATTTTCATCGAGATATAAGCTCGAACAGGAAATAGTTCCAGCAGTCTCTTCAAACCACACTATAACACAAAAATGAAAAAAAAATAAACAGCAAGCAAGGAATCATAAAAGATGAACTCATGTCGACATCATCAACAACATGAAACAACACGATAACGAGAAAAGAATGATCTCCATCAGTGGTTCACTGTGAAAGTAAAGGTAAGTTCTGGGGCTCATTTCTCAAAAAGTCGTAGATTTGGGCCTAAGTTAGTCCGACTAAGAAAGCAACGCCAAATTTTAGACGGGCCTAAATCCCGTTTCAGAAAGCGGCGTAAGACTGGGCCCAAGAAGACCTCTCCGCTAGGTACTAAGCATGCGCAGATCGTAATTTATTTGGTTTAGAGACTACAATGTCATGTGGCTGATCAAATTAATATCAAACTTAAACTTAAATACAGCATATAAAGCACGGGAAGCACAAGCGCGCTTGCATGTTTTCCGTTTTCAAAGGTTTTCAAACAGATGTATTACGCAAACCCATCTGTGTTTTCAAGGTCAAAGCATTAACATTATAGTACCGGATAAAGGGACAGATTAGGGTTTGGTAAGGGACCCACAGCCACACCAAAAATTGAGTTAATCTTTCGTTATTATTTTGGACACAGGCCTCCTATCCCCCCGCCTCTACATCTACAAGTGTTATATCAAATAATTAATGGTAATTTGATATGGTCAGAAAAATTTTAAACGTGAAATCTATACATTAGAAAAACATAAACGTGTACACGATTGTGATACTAGTATTTCTACATGCATTTGTACATGTTATGTTGAGCAACAATTTTCAAAGGCAGGGGAGGGGGCAACCAGTATCCAGAGGAAATTTTTCTCTAGAGTGAAGGGGCGGAGGTCCCGACCACACGGAGAACTACTGTGAATAATTTAACAATTTCGAAATTATATCATACTAATAATGATTATTAAAACATGGATGAGATTTTTCAAAAATTTATCAGTTGTCATAAATTTATATTTTCAATCAATTTTTTCAATATACCTGTATTCATAATGTTGCACTTTGGACATACAGTATTACATTTATGTATTAGATATAATAATTTACTCATCAGTCCATGTAGAAATACATGTACGTATACATCACTTGCATTATAGCACACACATTCTCAATAATGGCTTGCAAAAGTTTCATTACTTTTAAATCGAATTCTTGTTATCTACATTACAGCAAGAAATCTAGTAATTTTTATAAATTACTGAAATATTTCTATTTGAATATTTTCAAATCAGATTTATTTAGATAGGAAAAGGTACAAATTTCAACATCAACATATTTTCCTTAAATCTAGCCGCCATTCTTTTTCAATTTCTATTGAGAATATTTCATTAAATATTTTTTTAGATGCAGGATGTTTCTTGAAGATGTAATCTAGACTTAAAGATATTAACAAGTCGTGATTTTCATACTCGTAAATAGTTTTTTGGATATTTTCTTAATCTCATTTACAATAAAGCATTTTCAACAACACATTATTGAATAGTTTTGTTTCAAATGTAATAGGATTTATTTATCTGCTCATAAATCTATCAAAAGGACCCCTTTAACCAAAACTCGTCTGAGAACAGACACGTAGCAATAGGGAGGGGGGCTGCCCCCCCCCCCACTTTTTTCCAAACATTACTTTTACTATTGAAAATGTTCATTGAAAGGCTGCCCCCCCCCCCCGCCAACATTTTACTACAGTCAATTGATATCAGGGAAATGTAGTATTGTATGCAAGAAAATTGGTACTGAAAGAAGTTGACATTGAAAAAAAGTTTCCAATTAAAGGGGGAAATATGCATTAAAAATGAAACTTTTAACCTGTTCACTCAACCGTGTGATGCATCCGCAAATTACCTTAGATATATTTACAGATACTTGGAAATGCATTAACTTGGTTGATGGCAAATTACGGTCATAGGACTTACAGATACTTGGAAATGAAACCTGCACCAAAAACTTTAACCTGTTCTTAGATGTATCATCCATGCAAGTTTGGTTAACATAGGGCTTATATTTCTCATGATCTAAATATATTTTGAAAAATGAATATTGTTTTAGGATTTTATTGAAACATTATCCTTTTCAAAAAAAAAAAAATATCCGAGGCCTAGCATCGTTTTAAAAATGTAAATGGGGGATCAGTGGGGCGGGTGGAGGGTAAGTAATTGAATAACCTAAGTATTCAGCCGAGAAGAGAAATACTGAAAGCAATCAGCCCATGAATTATACAGTTTTTTTAAACAGAAAACATACTACTGCATTAGATAATGGAAGGGTTGCAGCCCCACCCAATAGTGGCCACTACGCGTGCCTGCATTTTTTTTTTTATTTTGGCGCTTCTTAACCAACTTGAATTCAAAATTCTTAGTTACAAATTTCTTGTTCATCTCACCGTTTACGGAAAAAAGTCTGCATCCTCGATGGATTTAACTACCTTTCTATTTTCCTACATAATACACAATATTGTATATTTCACGATTTTTTTGCATTATCATATAATTATGTACATGTATATGAATAGGTATTACATGTATATCGTATACGTATAAAATAGTTATTCTTTTAACTCTTTATGATTAAAACACATGCCTTTTTTTCCAAGTTGTGTACAGACTAAGAACTTACGCCTACTCATGAGCAGGCCTAGATTTAAACCCAAATTTAGTCTCGACTAAGTCTCCGCCTTTTTGTGAAACGCAACTTAGTCCGATTCTTGGGTTTAGTCACTGATTTAGTCCGGACTAAGCTTACGACTGGTCGTAGACCTTTTTGAGAAACGGGCCCCTGGCAGTTTCTTAGGAAATTTAAGTAATTGTTTTCAATATTGAATAAATTAAAACGAGTTTTTCATATCTATTATTTGTTTCACGTCTTCAAAAATATTTTAAGTAGTACTTGCTTGGGGTTTGGACGGGGTATTGTGATACAAATTCGGGCAGTGATATACCTGAAGCGGGACATTGAAAGAAATTCAGCTGTAAGTTATCTTTTCCAAATTAATTTCTCTAAATTTTAATTATCTCATCAGGCAATCTTGAAATAATTGGAGAGACCACCTTTCAGTTAAATACACAGTGACAAATTCATGTGTGTTAAATTCAAAGTTTGTTATTTCCTTCCAAACTTCCGCCAGGGTCTGATAAAATCGGGAGGACTCTGTGTATGAATTAATTCAACTTTGTGTAGACGTTTTCTTCTCATAAGAAGAAATGCTACAGGCCATGACAAAAATATTTAGTACCTGATGTATTGATTAATCTATAATGTCCTAAAATTCTCACAGCCAATTGCCCATCTGTAAGGAAATTTAATTGAAGTAGTTGGCCGCCATTTTGATTACAGTATTGAAATGCGTCTGGTTGTGACACAGCTGAATCTGCGCTCATCATCAGATAGCACGACTTCACATCTGCAGAACCGACCCATCCAGAGGGACAAATATTGAGTCCTGTCAAAGAATTCCATATTTACTTAAAGGTCAAATAACAAGAAGAATGCAGATCCATTGTATCTTGTTTTAAATAAAGATCAACAAACAAACATTTATTAGATATATTGATCTCTCTTTTTAAAACGATATACCGTAAATCTGGAAATTTTCGATTTTCGATTTTATTTTGCGAATTCAGGTCAAAATGGCGTTGATTAATTTTTACGTTTCAAAATTTTGCGGATTACCACTGCTTTGTTTACATTTTCTTAATATTGGTAATTTATTTTAAAGAAAAATATTTTTGCGAATGCAATGAACTCGCAAATTTGCTAAAAATTTATCTACAGCAAAATTTTTCAGATCTACAGTAATTAAAAAGCGTCAAAAATGGACTACACTGAGGCTTTTAGAACCAAAGGATTATAAGATTAGATTAAACAGTGCCCACGTTCATCGACTTTATTAAATGTATTCCCAATAGAGATTTGGAGACTTTTGTCTATGTAAAAAAAAAAAAAAAAGAATTGTAACAGAATCTGGATTCAAATCCATGTAAGGTCGGAAAATGAAAAATTAACTCACCAAGTCGAAAACTCAAGACATCAGCCTCTTTGTAGCAAAAGAATGGAAGCCTTTCATAACAACTTCGTACTTGTAGTTCACGCAGTCTATCCCTGGTTCCTATACAAAGAGGGCTGGTGTCTGTCCAGTTTTGAGAAACAACTATTCTGTAACAAGAGGAAAAGATTTAATGATTTTAGAAATTTTATTGTACCTGTAATTTCTGTAAAAAAGTTAAATTTTAAATTAAGCACAATGAATTTTGCAGAATGTATATCTGAAAGAGATATATTCTGTGAAGTTCATCTTTATATATAAAACTATTCCTTTTCAAAGAAATTGAGCATATAACAGGGTATTATTTTATCTCGGAATAATTTTATGCTTCAGAATTTAACAAAATGTCGGTTTTTAATGTAGAACATATCTGTAGATTGTAGAAGCAGATCTACCTGTTGAAATTCGCTGTAGAAGTGTTTCTATATAATGTAGAAGAATAAACCATGTTGAAATTTGCCGTAGAACCCTTTCTAAATAAAGTAGAAGAATAAATTATGTTGAAATTAGCCGTAGAACCCTTTCTATATAATGGAGAAGAATAATTCATATCTTTTTGTTTATAAAATATGTTTCATTCATGTACATGTATGAGTAATTTATTTTCATAACTTTATTCTTCATTGTTCTTTATTTTGTACTGGGGTATATGTGTCTACTTTTATGTGCTTGTTGAAATTGTTCTACGTTCCGTGGTCGTGCCGGGCACGGACTACGCATACTACGCATGCGTCTGATCCGAGTCTCCGCTGTGTTGAATGACCCAGCAGTTTTGCCTACTACCGATTTCATAAAGAAATAGCTCACGAAAAACGAAAATACATACCGATACATGTTCACTAGCACCACTGCAAACACTTACAAATATTTTTACAGCTTAAACATCGTTTAAATCCATTGAATAGCTAGAAAAACGCGACCATGTTAACACCTCCAATGTTCCTACACAGTGCTGCAGTTCGACGTCACTTTTCAAAATACGACGTCACAGGTACTCTGTTTTCCCGAACTTTCTAAAGCAAAATGGGGTATAGCATTGTAAGTAATATAAGGTATTATGTCGCTATGAAATAATACAGACAGATTATTCTTCGTGCTAAAAATTCCCTTTTACCTAAGAAATCAAATACCACAAAAGCAAACAGAAGTGAAAAGTTTTTAGTACAGAAAACAAGCTGTAAAAATTGGAAGATCCAGGATCCACCCACGTGCTTGGCCTCCGCTAAGAGGTGCATATTTAGTGTGCAAGTCTCAAGTTTTCAAGCTTCTGTGACGTCACGCTCACGGACCTGTTTACTACAGAGGATTCAAGATATTACAAGAAAATCAGATGGGGTCAATTATTTATAAAAAATAAATAATATAAATAAAATATGTTTTGAATTTAAATTGAATGAATGTGTGTAACGTTTACGATTTGCATGAATGAAGGTAGGTAAATTTACATGTACACGTAAGGGGTAATGTCAATTAATTAAAACAATCAAAGTTAAACACTTTCTAAATCCTCTCACTTTTTTAGATAACCTTTCAAATTGGAAAACGGTATGGAATCTGACTAATCTGTTAAAAAAATGAATTTAGTCCATCCCTTTTCAAGAGAGAGGGCACATGCTGAAAACGATTTGTTGTCATATTGCTAATTAAAATATAAAATAACGCATTAATTTTTTTTACCTTAATCAGCTGCTTCATAAATCCACGAACATAATTACTAGTATGCAAAGCATATCGGAGATATTAGACGATCTAAGATTCTGTGTTATAGGTACATGTATATACGTATAAAAAACGTGTATCACATCAAATTATTGCATTTACCCAATACAAAATCTAAGGTTGATACAAATTTTCAGCCAGTTAAATTTCCTTTTATGTTTTGCGATATCAAATTAAAAGAGGTCTTGAGGACAGAAGGAGTTGTGATATATAGATCTAATATCATTGCAAAACCACAAAGACTTTTGAAAGATAATACATTAGCATTTTTTCTATCTCCAACATTGGCGTCGGAAGGATATTGAAAGGGGGGGGGGGGTAAGTGATGGGGAAACATTTTTTTAAACCTTAAAAGAAAACTGAATGACAAGCGAAAAAAGGATAATATGCTCTTTGAAAAATCAGGAAAGTCCTATTTCGGGGAGGGGGGGGGTAGGTTAGGTTCGAACTATTTTCAGTACCATACCCCCCCCCAACACTACCACTTTCCCCATGTTTAACCAATACTGCAACGTGACTGGAAAGGGCGGACCTACATGTAAACCTATGCCGCATTTTCAATGCTTATACAATGTCTATCTTTGCAAATCCGCCCCCCCCCCTTCTGAGGCCTATGCCTCCTTTCCTGACTTTCTCACCAGCAGATTAAAAACGCTTCATGTCTCTTCCTTTTGTTTGAGAGGCACAATGACTGGTAAAACTTATATTAAAATCACAGAGTTCCATTAAATAAACATATTTGATACATCTTTGAGTTTTGTGTTTGGAATTTCTTCCGGTCCACTTTAGCGACATGCAGAGTAATCCAGGTAAGCCAGGATATCATGGTAGATATAATGTTTATTGTTTTCGTCACCTGCTATCTGTACATACTGAATCCAAAAGGTGAGTGATAATTGTACTTCTGGGGTGCCTAAATCATCGTTTAGACAGATATTAGTTTATTACCGTGATTGTTGTTCTAAAATGATTTTCAAAATGCTTTTAACCCTTTAACGCCCAGAGACGCCATTTGACGCCTTTTCAGCATCACGGACATTTAACGGCTGGCGTTTCGTAAATGATTGGGATACAACAAAACAATTGATATTTTCGTAAAATAGAGAAGAAACTGAACACTTTTGCTACACAAATTTTTTCTATATGATGCTAAGAAATTATCGTAAACTTGAAATCAATGTTGCATATCCTACTAAGAAGTTATAAAATTACGCATAAATGACTGATGTTGTGCTATCTTCTGTGGCCTTTAACTAAATTTCAACACAAAATTTAATTTTTAAAAATGCCGTTACCCGAAAGTTTGGAATCTTCCCTACATTTTTTATTACAAACTTTTTAAGGTACATGCATTCGTTATAGAGATATTTGTTGTTGAAAATTGGATCTACACAAAAAATGCTCTATGACGTCATTTGACGTTACATATGAAATTGTGAAAGAACGCAATGTAAGACGAACTGATTCTTTTGATACTTGGAACAGATTAATTTTTTTTAAATGACTTATTTATAAAGAAGAGTTAATGTTCGACATGACTTGAGTCATTAGCATAATAAATGATTTTTTCATAGCTTTGGGAGAGATATTATGCACATGTAGTAAATGTCGTTTGCTCAGTGCCCCGATTGCGCACACCCGTTTCAGAAATCCCTATCGATTTTGTGTCATTTCTACATGTACTTAAGAACAATTAATCAAATAATTACATATTATCGTTACCATCTTACATATCATTTAAAATTTAAAAAAATACCGATACAAGCATATTCATGGGCATCGGAAGCAAATTGAAAGGTGGGGGGGGGGGGGGGGGGGGGGGGGGGGGCTAAACCAACAAAAAAAGGTAAATCCCAATTTTCATTCATGAGTAGAGTAGCATATCAGAAACCCTTGGCTAGCATAGATGAATGCCTATATAATGTCTATTTTTGCAAAAAAAAAAAAAGTGGGCACCCCTCCTACGCAATGGAAATCAGGCGATAATAAAATCGAGAAATTTTCGTTTGAATTATTTCCCTTTCTTTTACCATAGTTTTTATGTACACAGAGGGGAACAAAGCTTTTATCGTCCATGTAAGATCTATAAGCGTCAGAAATTCATTTCCACTGCGACATTGAATAAAAGAAATAGGGGAAAATGTATTTTCAAACAGAGAGAGAGAGAGGTCGTCACTGAGTTGCACGTAGTCCGAAAAATCTGACGTTTTCCAGGCCTTTTTTTTTTTTTTTTTTTTTTGCGAAACCCGTTTTTTTATTTTGTTTTTTCAGGGCTTCCCCCCCCCCCCCCCCCCCCCCAAATTAAAATTAATGTTTTCCCATTATATTCCAGCTTGAATTTTACAGTTTATTTATTTTTTTTTTACAGAACGATAAAGAGTTTTAAAATCAATGCTTTTGTATTTATTAAAATACTAGTATATTAATACATGTACTTGCATGCAAATTTGTTTTATATCGTAAGAACTGTAGGTGTGTGAAAGTAAGTCAGTACTGTGATTTAAAATCATATCTCAAGCCATGGTTCCTAGTCCACTGTTTGCCTCTAGAATAGAAGCTGATTCTTACATTTTGGCCGTGTTTGGATAGTACTGTTCTAGAATTGTTCTGGTATTGTGTGTCACCTGAGCAACATTTTTCAAGTGTATTTATTTTACCGTAGAAAAGCATTAACACGGTGCGTCCCTAAATAAAATTCGGTGAGATTGCTAAAATTCATAATCCTCCTAAATGAAATATAATAGCAATTTATCAGATACTGTACATTACCCTGGTGTAGAAATAATGCATTTTTTTAGGTCAATGACTGGTCGCAGTCTTCACCTTTTGCAATTAATTGTTGAACAGTAAAAAGTTCCTAAGTCATGAACACTCGTATTAATACATGTGCTGTAACTAAGTTGTTATACTAGTAATTAAATTACGATGCAAAATTTTTACTGTACGATGGTCTTTTTTCCCAGGGTGCGGGGGGGGGGGGGTAAGTTCACAGTCTGAATAACATAACATCTATAACATATTTTGATGAACTATTACATGCATTTATCTAAATAAATTTTGTCAGTCCTCAATGAGTTAAAACAAGTGTATCAAACTTGATAAATTAGAAAATTTGGAATAAATAAAAAACCTCCCTCATTGAATAGTCTTTTAGAGATTAGCCGGGATTACAAGTATGAATATTTAGGAAGCTGAGAGAGTTGATTATATTGTTACAAAAAATAAATAAAACCGAGCGAGTATGTAAAAAATTTACCAGAGCAGATGATCGCGCCAAAATAGCAAAATGCACCATTGGAAATCAAAGTCGTTTTTTGAAACTGTAGAAATAAGTTTATGAAAGTTAAATCAAAAGTATCGAGAAAAATACCTACTGAATCTCTACATTTTT